ATAATATACCATGCAAAATTTCAGGTCAATCGTATACCGGGAAGTGGGTCAAATTAAACTTGCAAGATTTGTTAAAATACATACAAGTCAAGTTAAATAAAAGCTTTTACTAACTGTTTTTTCACATGTTTAACTGTTTCCTTAACAGTTTTTTATAAAACTTGTAATGAATATTACTGGAGTTTTTTCCCAACACCAAATCGTTATTTTTAATACCTCGACAGGTGTTTCGATCACCAAGTCAAGATTAAATCTTCCTCTTTGAAGACGATCACTTGGTGATCGAAACACGTGTCGAGGTGTTAAAAATAACGATTTGGTGTTGGGAAAAAACTCCAGAAATATTCATACTACACCAAAGGATCCAAACAGTGCATCATAAAAGTTGTAATGATAAATATTCTCCCAAGACGGAGTTTTCTTTTACTAGGCAACATAGTTGTCTCTGATTTTCATAATTTTTTTAATATTACCATTAATTCATATTTACTTGTTCATTTCCGATATGATTTATTTTTCAGACCTATTCCTTTGAAAAACTTCTTCATTTTTATCGTAAATGCTATCAACATCTAACGTATTTGATTTTGAAAATTCTTCATAGAGATTCACAAGGTTTTTTTCGATATTGTTTTCGTTGAATTCAACCAAAATATACTCTTTTTTTTTCTATTTACTTTCACTTCAATTTCCAATATTTGCATTTTATGATCACTCAAAACATAGTTGATTATTGACAATTCAGATGACCTTGAAGAATTGATAACTATATGGTCAATTAATATACTGCTTCCTTCCACTGGAGTTTAATCTGGAAGATTAATCTTCCTCTTGAAGATGATCACTTGGTGATCGAAATACGTGTCGAGGTGTTAAAATAACGGTTTGATGTTGGGATAAAACTTCTGTAATATGTTTAAAAAGAAAATATGTTTTTTCCGTTAACTAGCTATCGCACACCTATGAACGACAACCCTCAGAAGTCGAAACTTGTGCGAGCTAAGGACTAATGAGGTCTTACCTTTTAACGTGTGATTCCTAACACGGGTTGGACGATAGCAAGTGAAAATCGAGCGTTCAGTCATCGGCCGATTGACTGAGTGAACAAAGCACCCACATCGAACTGCCCGGCTACCGACC